AAATGAGGATGTACAAATTCGAATGTTTATGTGTAGATAACCATTTAAAAAACAAAATATCTTAAAATTGTGAACAGGATTTTTTGAGACTTTATATAAATCGTGATTTTTAGAATATTTTTCAAGGACTATATTTATATGAACTGTGTTTTTTTATACCCTCAAGCTACGGCTAAAACCAAAACTTGTTATAATGATTTCAGACCCTAGGTCCCTTTGAACCAAATCCGTTTCAGGGCATTTGGCGTCGTTCTAGTCTCTGTCTGTCTGGTTGCCACACAATAAATCTCGAAGTGAATATCCAATTTGGTCCAAACTTGGTACACCGTTTTCTTCCGTCCACTTCCTTGACGTCGGGCTAGGCTACCAGTATCACGGTAACGAGCGATGGTACGAGACACAAAAGATTTACTCACATTTAAATGCTGGAGTGTTCTAACGATAGCCACTTGTGTTTTTCCAGCCGAATATAAAGAAATCACACTATCACGCTTGAACTCCATCACGAATAACTTTTTTTCTAAAAAATTCTCCCAAAAATTCTTTTGTACGCATGTAAACAATACAATGAGCTGTCACTGGAACAATTTTAACAGCTGTCGGACGAGTGGCTTAGAAATGACAACAGTCTGAAGTTGGTTGCAGTTTTTTCATCTCACCCTGTATATCTTCAACTGATTTCGGGTTATATGTGCACCAAGTCGCTAGTATCAGCCCAAGTGAACTCAATTTTTAAAATTCCGACAGAATTTCTTTTAGAAACAAGTACTTCAAACTTGGTGAAAATCGGTTCAGATATAGCTATTGTCCCCATATACATGCATCATCCGATTTAGTGTTAAAGTCCCTCAAATTCATAATATCCCTTCGACAACAAGATATTTGGTATCAGGTATCTGATAGAGCTCGGAAATACCTCTGCCTATTTTTATTGAGATCAGTTTAGATTTGGATATAGCACCCATATATATCTTCAATAGATTTCGGGTAAATTGTGCACCAAATGGCCAATATCTGTGCAAAAGTCGTGAATTTTGAGACATCTGACCGTATCCAGTCTAAAAGCAAGTACATCAAATTTGGTTCAGATGTAGCTATAGTTCCGATATCATCGGCCCCTCACATTCTTAATATGCATTAGACAATAATATTATTTGGTACCAGATATCTTATAGAACTCGAAGATACCTTTGCCAAATTTTATCGAGATCGACTAAAATTTGTGTATAGCTCCCATATATATATATATCCTTAATCCGATTTCAGGTTTATTGTGCAAATAATGGCTAATATCAGGCAAAATGGAGTGAATTTCGGAACGTGTGCATATTTCCATTTTGTGGAACTAGGCTCCGATATATATTATTCCAATATTATCCTTCTCGAAGTGATATCATGCACTTTATAGCAATCTTATTTGATATAAAAGATTAAAACGTCTCCATCAAATTTAGTGAAAATTGATTCAGAATTGGATATGCCATCCAATATTAGTTCCAAACTGCTATAACTGCTCTAAAGCCAAATGTTGATAGGTGGTATGATCTACTTCAAATAAATTATTTTTTTACGAGAGCTCTTCTAGATAAATATGCATAGTGGTGAAGGATATCATATAGTCGCCCCGCACGAATATTGACTTATCCTTATTGGTTATTAATATTTTCAAGAAATTCCTTAAGAAACCTTTATAGACCTTCAAGCCAAAAATCGTGGATTTTAAGCTTTTAAATCGATTTTATGTCTTGATGTAAAATCTTAAATATTAAGAATATTGTGTTCATGGACTACCAAGGAAATAACAGCTAAAATTCAAACTCGTGCATTTTAAGAGAAAACGGAAGTAGGAATCTTTTAAAGATTTTCTGGCTAAATATTTTCAAGGACTTACTGGTAACAAAAATAAAATTAATATTTTTAGGAGCTTGTTAGCAAAAAAAATCATGGAAACTTCATTTTTTTGAGAATCTCATGTTAGAAAATCGAACTACATTAAAACAAATTTTAAGGGAAAGCTTGAATTTTTGTGAATATTCACTGCCTGTTGTAAACCATATATTTTGGTTTGAACCAGGGCTAGGCAGAGAGCCTCAAATTTTTTTTGTGATTGTATGTGTTCTGAAATAACAAAATATTTCAAATGTTTTTTGTCTCACACAGTGAGAAATAATTTGTTGTTTGTAAATTTTCAGTTATAAATTTTCTCTTTTCAAAACAACTCCAACTTTTATAATTTATGGTATAAATTTGCTTTGTTTTTAACGTCAATTTATAATCGGAGAGAGAGGAGAAGAGAGAGGAAGAGAGAGAGAGAATAAGTCAAGGGAGGGAGAGAGAGGAGAAAAGATAGGAAGAGGGAGAGAAAAGGTCACTGACCTCTTGACCTGGGGTCAATGACCTCTTGACCTTGGGTCAATGACCTCTTGACCTGGGGTGAATGACCTCTTGACCTGGAGTTATTGACCTTTTCTCTTTCTCTCTTCTTTTCTCCCTCTTCCTCTCTCTTCCTTTCTACCCTTCCTCTCTCTCCCTCTCTATCACCGTCTTCCTCTCTCTCCCTCTCTATCGACGTCTACCTCTCTCTCTCCCCTCCCCCACTCTATCCCCGTCGTCTTCTATCGCTCTTTCCCTCTCTCTTCATTTCTCTCGCCCTCCCTCTTCCTTTCTCTCTCTCTCTCTCTCTACATCTTTCCCCAGCCCAGCGGATTTTTTAGCACATACATCTTCCATCTGAGACCAATGACAATGTAGCCATCCAAAGCCTGTATACAATTTCTACTTACATTTACACAGAGATGGCCTAGGCCGTCAGACGAGTCCGAAATCTACCTACAATGTAAGCGAATGTTGGATGGGTCCGAAATCGACCGACAACGTAAGCGAATGTTGGATGGGTCCGAAATCTATCAACATTGTAAGCGAAGGTTGGATGGATCCGATTCCATCAACATTTTAGATTGTGGAACTTAAATTTCAGCTGTCTTTTATTAAAATATTCGTATTATAAACGTGTTTTCAACAATAAAATATTCTTATTATAATTAGAAATAATGCATAAAAACGAAATTCATAAAACTTATTCAAAAGACGTGGGAAGAAATAAAGCTTAAACTAAAGGAAAAAAAATATATTTTTCCAGTTTTTTATTGTAGGACATTGTTCGGAAGTGTCTGGCCTTAGGGAATTTGAAACAATTTTTAATCCTGTTCATTGGATCCTTCACATATGACAGCTTCTGAAATAAGGATAAAAAATATAGAACAATTTTCTATATTTCCTCACATTCTTAATATGCATTAGACAATAATATTATTTGGTACCAGATATCTTATAGAACTCGAAGATACCTTTGCCAAATTTTATCGAGATCGACTAAAATTTGTGTATAGCTCCCATATATATATATATCCTTAATCCGATTTCAGGTTTATTGTGCAAATAATGGCTAATATCAGGCAAAATGGAGTGAATTTCGGAACGTGTGCATATTTCCATTTTGTGGAACTAGGCTCCGATATATATTATTCCAATATTATCCTTCTCGAAGTGATATCATGCACTTTATAGCAATCTTATTTGATATAAAAGATTAAAACGTCTCCATCAAATTTAGTGAAAATTGATTCAGAATTGGATATGCCATCCAATATTAGTTCCAAACTGCTATAACTGCTCTAAAGCCAAATGTTGATAGGTGGTATGATCTACTTCAAATAAATTATTTTTTTACGAGAGCTCTTCTAGATAAATATGCATAGTGGTGAAGGATATCATATAGTCGCCCCGCACGAATATTGACTTATCCTTATTGGTTATTAATATTTTCAAGAAATTCCTTAAGAAACCTTTATAGACCTTCAAGCCAAAAATCGTGGATTTTAAGCTTTTAAATCGATTTTATGTCTTGATGTAAAATCTTAAATATTAAGAATATTGTGTTCATGGACTACCAAGGAAATAACAGCTAAAATTCAAACTCGTGCATTTTAAGAGAAAACGGAAGTAGGAATCTTTTAAAGATTTTCTGGCTAAATATTTTCAAGGACTTACTGGTAACAAAAATAAAATTAATATTTTTAGGAGCTTGTTAGCAAAAAAAATCATGGAAACTTCATTTTTTTGAGAATCTCATGTTAGAAAATCGAACTACATTAAAACAAATTTTAAGGGAAAGCTTGAATTTTTGTGAATATTCACTGCCTGTTGTAAACCATATATTTTGGTTTGAACCAGGGCTAGGCAGAGAGCCTCAAATTTTTTTTGTGATTGTATGTGTTCTGAAATAACAAAATATTTCAAATGTTTTTTGTCTCACACAGTGAGAAATAATTTGTTGTTTGTAAATTTTCAGTTATAAATTTTCTCTTTTCAAAACAACTCCAACTTTTATAATTTATTGTATAAATTTGCTTTGTTTTTAACGTCAATTTATAATCGGAGAGAGAGGAGAAGAGAGAGGAAGAGAGAGAGAGAATAAGTCAAGGGAGGGAGAGAGAGGAGAAAAGATAGGAAGAGGGAGAGAAAAGGTCACTGACCTCTTGACCTGGGGTCAATGACCTCTTGACCTTGGGTCAATGACCTCTTGACCTGGGGTGAATGACCTCTTGACCTGGAGTTATTGACCTTTTCTCTTTCTCTCTTCTTTTCTCCCTCTTCCTCTCTCTTCCTTTCTACCCTTCCTCTCTCTCCCTCTCTATCACCGTCTTCCTCTCTCTCCCTCTCTATCGACGTCTACCTCTCTCTCTCCCCTCCCCCACTCTATCCCCGTCGTCTTCTATCGCTCTTTCCCTCTCTCTTCATTTCTCTCGCCCTCCCTCTTCCTTTCTCTCTCTCTCTCTCTCTACATCTTTCCCCAGCCCAGCGGATTTTTTAGCACATACATCTTCCATCTGAGACCAATGACAATGTAGCCATCCAAAGCCTGTATACAATTTCTACTTACATTTACACAGAGATGGCCTAGGCCGTCAGACGAGTCCGAAATCTACCTACAATGTAAGCGAATGTTGGATGGGTCCGAAATCGACCGACAACGTAAGCGAATGTTGGATGGGTCCGAAATCTATCAACATTGTAAGCGAAGGTTGGATGGATCCGATTCCATCAACATTTTAGATTGTGGAACTTAAATTTCAGCTGTCTTTTATTAAAATATTCGTATTATAAACGTGTTTTCAACAATAAAATATTCTTATTATAATTAGAAATAATGCATAAAAACGAAATTCATAAAACTTATTCAAAAGACGTGGGAAGAAATAAAGCTTAAACTAAAGGAAAAAAAATATATTTTTCCAGTTTTTTATTGTAGGACATTGTTCGGAAGTGTCTGGCCTTAGGGAATTTGAAACAATTTTTAATCCTGTTCATTGGATCCTTCACATATGACAGCTTCTGAAATAAGGATAAAAAATATAGAACAATTTTTTAATATTAAACAGTTATACTATAGAATAGACTAATGGACTACATTTTAAGGTAACATAATATCACTTTTCAATAAATATGTAAGAAAAAATTTAACTTACCGAAAATGGCCATGATTAAAATTTATATTCCTTAAACGCCTTTTTATTTTGGGTACCATCATAGCTGTAAGATAATATTATAGAAATGTCATTAATCTTGCAGAAGTTTTTAATCTGGCGAAATTATAATTTTTATGATACTAACCTGAAAGAATTTAAATTATTAATGGATTATAACGGAGAGTTTTCAACATTCTTACATATTTTCCAAAATCTTCTACAATTTTGGAATGCATGGAATCTGCTCATTTTGTAGAATATCATTGTTTTCCAAACAGTCCGTCCTCAACTGTGGATTTCTTGTTAAATTGTCTGCTTCCACTTTCTTTAGTCGTCTTAAATTACTCCTACTGAATCCTGACATTTTATTTAACTTATTTAACACACAACACTTACTACATTCTTATTTTATTAATTTATTTTATTAACTTTTGTTCAAAATTCACAACTTGCACTTTCAAAAACACTTCACAGAATAAAATTTTGCTTCAAAAAAGAAAGAAGCATCAAAAATGAATAACGGTACAACAGCAGCTGCAACAATAAACAAAAAAGTTACAAAACAATACAAAGGCATCCGATTCAGATGCAAGTGCGATGGACAGTTTTTATTGTATTTTGTTTTGTTCTTTAATTCTAATATGGATTTTGTTTCACAATGTAATAGCAAAACGACTCATCCGATTCGGATGCTAGTTGTATGCTATTAACCACTGTTATTTCATTTTTTCCTATTGACAATATAGCATACATTTGGATGGGTATTAAATTGTAATGGCCAGCGGACTGCTGGGAGGTGACCCCAGGTCAAGAGGTCATTGGCCGTACTCTTAACATGTGAATTTTTATACAAATTCTGTTAAACAGAAATCAATACAAAGGATAAATCCTAACAGTTGTAATTTTTACAATTTCGGAAATATTTGTTTCAAATATGTAGAAAGATATATTTATGTGCTCCAATATTTCTTACGGTGTATTCATAAAAATATCCGACAGCACCTTCTTCATCGACTGCTCGAACAAAACTAAATATTCTCCCAAAACCAATTTGACAGAAAATTCAAAACAATATATTTTCTACAATTGTATTGGTGAACACACAGATATCTCATGGTGTACTCTTTGCCTAGCCCTGGTATGAACATACATTTATAAATTTTCCTAGGCTGAGGGCATATCATGGTCGGGAAACGATAATATATTTTCCAGCTAGTTTTAAGCCGCGCTTTTGGTCTAATAGTGTTCTCTTTCAAGTCCCAAAAATTCCCCCATTGTCGACAAAGGGTTAACAATAGTAAAACAGCCTGAAGATGAGCATCACTTCCATTTGCTTTGGTGGCGGCAGCAAAGTGATTATAATTTGTCTGTTGGCTTTAAAAACTTAAATTAGATACTTGTATTGAATGGCAAGCAAGAAGCTCAAGCGGAATATAACTATAACTAGTCTAAAGCTGGCAACGGCAGCACCAGTCGCATTGCTAAGAATATCAAACCAAATATGTGCTAAGAAGACGCAAAAGTTGATTCGCATTTTGTGCGTCTGGTTTCTGCTCATTGTCTTGAAGTTATAATGTCTCTAAACTAAAAATTAAAATAGCAAAACTGTCAAATGCACGCTGTGATGTGGCGGCGGGCAATAGCACCAACAACAACAACTCACAAGTAGATGAGACCAAAACTCCTAAGCCTTAACGCATCATCAGCACATCTTCTAATGAAAATCATTTTTGGTTTTGAGACCCTGGAGAAACCCTTTTCACTTCTCCGCCCCCCAACCCATTCTTCCTGCCGCCGCAGGAAGTGCCAAAAGAAGGAAGTGGATGAATGTATTTGGCATAAAAGCAATTTAAGAATTGAAGTTTATGTCTGTTTGTTGTTCAAGTTGTTAGTCGGTTGGTTGGTTTGGTTCGCAGTTGGCTGGTTTGTTGGTTGTGTGGTATGGTTTGTTGTTGTGTGTGAGTTTACGTCATCCTCAATTGTTTGCCAAGTCTTTGGCCTGACTATTTTTCTTTGGTGTTTTAGTTAAAAATTCATACACATATGGGATAAGAAGATAAATGACGAACATTTTCATAAATTAGCATAAATATTTGTTAGGTTATGTTGCAGTGTTTCTTTTTTCTTTTCGTTTGTTGTTAAAAACGATTGGTTTTCGCTGTTCTTCATTGGCGAAAATCACCTGGCACTGTGGCGAGGAAAAGAAAAAAATTGAATGGCTTATATGTCATTTTCAAAAGGTACTACTTATGTGAAGGTTCAACAGCTAGAGGAAGGACACGCCAATGGTATTCTTTCATAGAATACCGACCGATGGTCTTCTACAATAGAAGATCGGCGGATGGTCTGCTGCCATAGAAGACCTGCTGGCGGTCTTCTTCCATAGAAGACCTAATGGGGGTATTCTTTCACCGAAGACCACCTGCTTGTCTTCTTCTACAGAAGACCAGCTGCCATAGAAGACCAGCTGGTGGTCTTCTTCTTCGATAGAAGACCAGCCGGTGGTTTTCTTCTTCGATAGAAGACCAGCCGATGGTTTTCTTCTTCGATAGAAGACCAGCCGGTGGTTTTCTTCTTCGATAGAAGACCAGCTGGTGGCCTTCTTCTTCGATAGAAGACCAGCTGGTGGTCTTCTTCTTCAATAGAAGGCCAGCTGGTGGTCTTCTTCTTCGATAGAAGACCAGCTGGTGGTCTTCTTCTTCGATAGAAGACCAGCTGGTGGTCTTCTTCTTCGATAGAAGACCAGCTGGTGGTCTTCCTCTTCGATAGAAGACCAGCTGGTGGTCTTCTTCTTCGATAGAAGACCAGCTGGTGGTCTTCTTCTTCGATAGAAGACCAGCTGGTGGTCTTCTTCTTCGATAGAAGACCAGCTGGTGGTCTTCTTCTTCGATAGAAGACCAGCTGGTGGTCTTCTTCTTCGATAGAAGACCAGCTGGTGGTCTCCTTCTTCGATAGAAGACCAGCTGGTGGTCTTCTTCTTCAATAGAAGACCAGCTGGTGGTCTCCTTCTTCGATAGAAGACCAGCTGGTGGTTTCCTTCTTCGATAGAAGACCAGCTGGTGGTTTCCTTCTTCGATAGAAAACCGGCTGGTGGTCTTCTTCTTCGATAGAAGACCAGCTGGTGGTCTTCTTCTTCGATAGAAGACCAGCTGGTGGTCTTCTTCTTCGATAGAAGACCAGCTGGTGGTCTTCTTCTTCGATAGAAGACCAGCTGGTGGTTTCCTTCTTCGATAGAAGACCAGCTGTTGGTCTTCTTCTTCGATAGAAGACCAGCTGGTGGTCTTCTTCTTCTTCGATAGAAGACCAGCTGGTGGTCTTCTTCTTCGATAGAAGACCAGCTGGTGGTTTCCTTCTTCGATAGAAGACCAGCTGGTGGTCTTCTTCTTCGATAGAAGACCAGCTGTTGGTCTTCTTCTTCGATAGAAGACCAGCTGGTGGTTTCCTTCTTCGATAGAAGACCAGCTGGTGGTCTCCTTCTTCGATAGAAGACCAGCTGGTGGTCTTCTTCTTCAATAGAAGACCAGCTGGTGGTCTCCTTCTTCGATAGAAGACCAGCTGGTGGTTTCCTTCTTCGATAGAAGACCAGCTGGTGGTTTCCTTCTTCGATAGAAGACCGGCTGGTGGTCTTCTTCTTCGATAGAAGACCAGCTGGTGGTCTTCTTCTTCGATAGAAGACCAGCTGGTGGTTTCCTTCTTCGATAGAAGACCTGCTGGTGGTCTTCTTCTTCGATAGAAGACCAGTTGTTGGTCTTCTTCTTCGATAGAAGACCAGCTGGTGGTCTTCTTCTTCGATAGAAGACCAGCTGGTGGTCTTCTTCTTCGATAGAAGACCAGCTGGTGGTCTTCTTCTTCGATAGAAGACCAGCTGGTGGTCTTCTGCTTCTATAGAAGACCAGCTGGTGGTCTTCTTCTTCGATAGATGACCAGTTGGTGGTCTTCTTCTTCGATAGATGACCAGTTGGTGGTCTTCTCCCACAGAATACCAGTTGGTCGTCTTCTCCCACGGAAGACCTGTTGGTGGTCTTCTGACACAGAAGACCAGTTGGTGGTCTTCTCCCACAGAAGACCAGTTGGTGGTCTCATCCCACAGAAGACCAGTTGGTGGTCTTCTCCCACAGAAGACCAGTTGGTGGTCTTCTCCCATAGAAGACCAGCTGGTGGTCTTCTCCCATAGAAGACCAGTTGGTGGTTTTCTCCCACAGAGGACCAGTTGGTCCAGTTCTATGGGAGAAGACCAGCTGGTGGTCTTCTCCCATAGAAGACCAGCTGGTGGTCTTCTCACATAGAAAACCAGCTGGTGGTCTTCTCCCATAGAAGACCAGCTGGTGGCCTTCTCCCATAGAAGATCAGCTGGTGGCCTTCTCCCATAGAAGACCAGCTGGTGGCCTTCTCCCATAGAAGACCAGCTGGTGGTCTTCTCCCATAGAAGACCAGCTGGTGGTCTTCTCCCATAGAAGACCAGCTGGTGGTCTTCTCCCATAGAAGACCAGCTGGTGGTCTTCTCCCATAGAAGACCAGTTGGTGGTTTTCTCCCACAGAGGACCAGTTGGTGGTTTTCTCCCACAGAGGACCAGTTGGTGGTCTTCTCCCACAGAAATCCATCCAGAACTCTCTTCTGTTCTTTTATAGAAAATTATCTGATCCCTCATCATCTCCTTCATTTTTACATTTTTATCCACTGTCCCCCATCCCATTTTTGTTTTTCGATATCTCTCCCTGGATATTTATGCATTCATATGAAGATAGCTGAAGATAGTTTAAAGCTCAATATACACATCTTCTCTATAAGCGGTGCAGCTAAACGCAGGTTGTCAATCATCTTCGGTACACAAACAGAAATAACAACAGCGAAGAGAGAAAAAAAAACTCAACTCAAGCTGCGTAATACCCGCTCAACATGTATGAGTTTGTGTGTGTGTGTGCTTTTTCAGCAGTTTTTCATATTTTTCTTTTCGCCATGTTTTCCTATCTGCAGCGTTACCTAGTTAGTTGGTGTTATTGTTGTTATTCTTAAGCGTACTTAAGATCACAGTGAATGTCTTTTGCAATTTTAATGAGTTGCAGCCAATTCAGAGGTAGAACAAAAGAAGAAGAAGACGACGATATAGGTGAAGCAGCAGATCATCAGAGGATATTGAAGGCAGCTGAACTATGGCAAGCAAACGTAGCCAAAGAGCTATCACCATCATCGTCGTCATCATCATAGCCATTTTAAACTGTACTGAACTCTCATCGGGTTTTTTTCATTGAGGAGACAATGCGAAAAAGGCTTTGGCTTAAACCATCGAAGTGGAAAAAAAATAAAGCGGGAAGAAAAATAAGAAAATAGTTCATGTTTACGCATAAGTTTTGCAAATGTACATTGATCTATTGGAAAAAATGATGCGTTCGGAAATGTATGGATATTGGTAATATTTGGCATGAGTGAAATATAAAAATATATATAAACAGTATTTACATAAAGTATGTTTATTAAACGAGTCGACATTAGTGAGATCCATTGAGGTTTGATGGTTATCAAAATTCAGGATTTTTCTTTAAAGGGATTTGTGGAAAAGTGTCGCTAAAGCTAGTGATACATGGGAAGCCATCACTCTCTTGATGATCCGTAACAAAATATTCAATGAAGACCTCGTGCCAAATTGGGGTTGCCTAGATTGTGTGTTGTTATATAATGACTAGCGGGGTATTTCGAGGAATAATACGATTAGCTTAGTTCACTCAATTTCCGAAAAAGGGAGTAGGGGTCCATGAGAAATCGGAAAACATGGTGTTTTTGTTGTGTT